ACTGGATTTAATGACCAAAAATTTTTTTCCTCCCTACATGTACTGTCTCAGGTGCAGAAAAAACTCTGGCCTCAGCTGTGTGCAGTTTGTGATAAAGCACCATCTTCCTGTGCCCCACAGGTTCAGTCTAGAGACCTGGTGATCATCACAGATCTCTAGTGTCCAGCTGGTAGTTCTGAGGCTAAAGATAGCTTTCCCTACCCTGTTGCTGGAAGGTATTCTAATCATTAGGACCTTCTATCAATCAGCCCCATACTAATCTTTCCACTACCAATCAGCCCCAGATTAATCCCTCTTCTCTGGAATTCCCCTAACTCCACTTAAAAGGAGCTTGTGACCTTCTTTGGGGGTGGGGGTCACCAAGTGGCATCCCAATGTTGAAATTAATAAAGCGCCTTGTTATTACATACATGGCTGTTGGTTTTCTTTTGGGCCTTCGCTCAGACCCCAACAATTTGTTTCCATGACTGATAGAAGACAAAGTTAGTTTTTAAAAGAAGATAAACAGAAAGAGATGAATTGGAAGGGGGACTGGTGGAAAGGTCTCGCAGGGGTAGGAGGGGAAAGTAGGGGTAGATATAATAATATTTCATTGTATACATGCATACAATTCTCAAAAATGAAAAAAATTAAAATCAAACAGTGTGATGAAAATCAGTAAGCTTGATTTGCATTTAGTTAAATAATCGACATTCTATAAAAGATTTTCTTTAATTGTTGAGGATGTTTGTCGTTTGAGCAGTGGTTCTAAAAGGAATTAAGCTGCTTTCTAAAAGTTTCAATAGTGAGTCTTTGTTCCTCAATGTCACAGTGAACACTATTAAAAAGAATTAAATTTTATACAAAGGCTAAGGCTATTTGAAGCAATCTACAGAGATACAAGCAGATTGAAAAGAAAACTAGAAGAATTTAGCTGGATCAACCAACATTCAGACACAGCAAACAAAAAGGGATTGGCAATGCCTTTCCTGGTGGAGCTCAGAAGACAGGAAGCCAAGACGCTGAGCAGTCTTGAGCAGGGAGATGATGCTGAAAGCTAAGATCATCTGCTCCCCACACACTAACCTTGGGGACATTTTGCTCATCCTGTCCATTTTCAAAATGCTTCCTCATTTTGAGTCACACGTTTATTGCCAGTCTGTGAGATTTACATATAAACATGTAGCCAGCACCTAGAGAAGAATGAACAAAGACAGTTCATACACAAACAAAGGCTGAGACAAAGGGAGAAATAGGAGACACCCCAGATGGAAACTAGAGGACTAGGCCGAGTTTGGTTTTTGTTATAACATTTTCTGTTGACTAAAATAACATTGTTGTCTCTTCCAGGTAAGTCCTTAGTTGAGAACACAGCTCCACACCTCTTTGCAGTCTGAATGGCAAATTCACTTTTCTTTGTTGTTTTATTTTGCCTCGGCCTGCAACCTTCTAAGATTCTTCTTCATAGAAAACTGTAACATCAGATCCACACTGTTCTCTTATTTTTGTCAATAAAAATTTATCAAGGCACTGTTTGGTGACATTTGAAAATGCAATCATGACTTTTAGTATTCACAGACACACCACCCTAAAAATAGAAACTGCTGTTTTTCCTCAAATTTGGAAACACGGAAGGCATTTACCCGAAGCCTCTTCAGGGGAGGCGTCTCCGTTCTCTGTTTGATAACGGACTGGAATCCCACTGTGCATCTGCACAACCCTGACAAAGGAGAACATTAGAGAGCTCTCATTCCGGGAGCCTTCTGACGACTGCCCTTCAGAGAGATTTTGGAGACAGAATAATGGTGTCTCATAATTTCAGTCAACCTGGGTATTTAGCACAGCTTCCGCCAGGCAGTAATTCACTCATATTTATTTTTCTCAGGATGCAACAGTAGTCTGAATTAAACATTATGATATATACCTGCACCGGCATAAACTATTTTTTCAAATTTTCCTAGTCAAGATTTCTTTCTCAGAGAAGAAAATTAGACAGGTGCAGCACACCAAATGAGATGAACTTTGTCCTCAAAGAAAATTGGTTTTTCCTTTTCAATTTCATTTCAAAGAGATCTGACAAGTGTGGCTTTGAACAAACTTTAACAGCACAATATCCTTTGTGTAAGTTTTCCCTTGTCAGCTTTTCCATTCCAGCAGGAACTTAGAACAAAGTGGATGGTGCCCTTTGAGTTGAGAACTTCATCAGTTGAATGAACACTAGCATAGTGAAGCAAAATTGAGGGCATACTCTCTCTCAGAATCTCAACAGTACAGTGTCTCAACAAACATAATTTCTCTATCTGCTGCCGAGAGAGACACTCACCATGCGTTGCCTTTCATACACTCCTCGCCTTCCTTCTCCACACCCAGGCTATTTGGCAACTTACCCACTTGAGACTTCACAGATCACACCATCGTCCTCCACTGTGCGTGGAGCGAAATCAGATTATTCGTGATATTGTCTAATCCGGCATTATGTTTATCTCGATATGATAGGGAGCCTGATCTCTGGAGATACAAAATTAGGCTTTCAGATGGATGCCGAGGGTTTTGGTTTTGCTTTGTTACGTGAAAGGAAATGTAATTTTCTATTTGTTTGGCTTTGTTTCATTTTTAACCTGTTTTGTAGCTTAGTGATGATTTCAAAACAAAACTCTAATGCAGAGGGGAGAGAAAGACAGTAAAAATCTGCTTCCCAGAGACTCTAATCTTTATTGTGCAGGAGCTCGTATGGCTTCTCACTCCTTGGAGCTTTACAGCGTGTGTAAATTGTACTAGTCTGAACCGGGCACTGCTACCGTGAGTTGATTCTGTTTATTTATTTATTTATTTATTTATTTATTTATTTATTTATTTATTGCTTCCTAGCTTTCTGAAGAGATTATCTTACAATTGTCTTTGCTATCACTTATTTTCTCTTGGCTTCAGCTTTTCCTTTCATCTCTTTTCCCCCCTTCCACATTAATATTTAAAGACTGTACTAGTGTCAGACATTCATGTAGATACAACTTAAATGCAAAGTGAATACGGTTACCGAATAAGTCCATGCCCAATTTAATTACAGCATTTTGATTAATACAGATTGTAAGTAGTTTGAACTAAGAATTTTAAGTTGTTCAGCTTGAATATTACAAAGACTAACTAGAGATTCAGGATAACTTTGACTCAAAAACTGCCAGAAAACACTCTGATTAACCAATTTAGATGTACTATCTAATTAAGGATCTAATATCTTTGAGATCACAGAAATTCATGTTTATTGATAAGATAAAATATTTATTACTCAGAGAGCTGAATTAGCAAAAAGAGAAACTCTAATCAGTTGCTAAGTCCCAGGAAAAAAATAGTAAAGTTGGTTGAAATTGTGAACATGATACTTATGAGGAAAGCTAGCTTATTTATTCAGAAGCCGTGCAGCCAGCAAATGCTGTATCCTTCAAAGCTAGTGTTGATGAAGTCTGTGACCAAATTTCTAAACTGGTTCGATGGCTAATGACTGCATGGCAACCTCTAATTGAGAATAATGACTAGGCAAAGAGGAACAGGCAGAGAGAAGGGATCTAAAAGGGCTCCAAGGACATGGGCTAAGGACCCTAAGACTCACACTCCTTGAATGTCTTTCCCAGAGAAAATGTGTTCTTTTTTCCTTTGGGCTGAATCTAAGGTGTTTTTTTTTTTTTTTTTTTTTTTCCTGAAAATTGCAAACATAGAGGAGTGAGATGCCAAGAATCTCTAAGGTACTTCCTAGAGTCTGCATCCTGCCCATTCAGAGAAAGGAATCAGTGAGCTTGCTACCCCTGCCCACCAAGCACAGGCATAAGCAGAAGTGACTGAATTCTCTTTAGGAGGTTTAGATTTTATCTTGCCTTCCTGACTCCTTAAGGATCTCCAGAGGAAGTTAAGCCAGGATTAAGTTCTGTAAAGTTTGAATGCATGAAGTAAAGTGACTGTTGTTCTAACAGTGATTCTTCAATTTGTAAATGTTTAAAAGCATATGTACACAAGTTTTTAACTCTAGATCTTCATATATCAATCATAACTCCTGACTGAATGAAATGGCAAGAAAGTGGAGTCAATTAAAGCAAGGTCATGTTCCATTGCTTTTTCAAAGTCTACGTTTTATCAAATGAGATTGCCTAAATAATACCAACAACATGTTGTTAATTTATTCAAATGTTAATTAAATAATTAAAACATACAACAACTCCAGTCTAACAATTGAAAGGGATAACGTTTTAGATTTTTGTTGGACAAGTCTTCTTCACTGATATGTATCTTCATTCTGAAACTGTGTGTGTGTGTGTGTTATGTGTGTGTTTTCCTAGACTTCTCTTCAACATTGTTATTGAGGCAGGGTGTCTCATTGGATCCAAAGCTTCTTAATTCTAGCTAGTCTAGATATCTAGATTACTCCCAAAGATTCCTTGCTCTTGTTTCCTGAGCATGGGGATCACAGGCACCCGTCACACTTGATACACTTTTACTTGTGTTCTAGGGATCTGAACTCTGATCCTCACACTGCATACTAAGCCACTTATCTACTAAGCCATCTCAAGACAAGCTGGAATGGAAAGAATTGTTCATAGGAGGAAATTATCAGGTGCTGGTGTTGTAGAAGCAACAAGTTATGTTGCTCTCTGCCTGAAATGGGGTGCTAGAAGCTTAAGGAGAAAACCCAACATTTTTGTTTCTGCTTTGGAAATCATTCAACCATGACTCTTATACTTAAAAAAATCTCTATTTAGCTGGAGGAAAGGGGTAATTATAGATCTTAGAGAATCTATTATCGAAGACTTCACTATGCAAAATATTTCATATGATGGCTCATGATTATAACTCCATCAGTAGGGAAGTTAAGACAGGAGGATGGAAATACTAGCTTGATGTCAGCCTTGTCTTTATCATGAGTTTAAATCCAGTTTTGACAACGAAGTGTGTATATATTTCCAGGCTAGCCACATAGAGCATTGAGGTAATAGTTTACACAGAGAACACATGACAAAAGGCTGCCTGTCTCATAGCTTCCCGAAATGCCAGTGCTCCCTGGGACCAGGTGCTGAATACAGCTGCTGTAGAAAGGATGGCTGCGGACCAGCTGAGCATCTAAGTGTAAGTATGGATCTAGGTTTGAGTCTCTCATTGTACACAGATGTCCTACAGCAGCTCTGCTACAAACCACCTGAGCCTTACTACAAATGCCCCCTTACCTTTAAAGATGAATTATTGTATTTTGCTACCCCAAGCATTGTTGGAAGATCAAATTGTGTGCTAATTAAATGGTTCATAAACTATGACATGGCATGTGATAACATTTATTAATAATTCATTTCAAAGCCCTCTTCTAGTTCAGTGCAATAGTAATAGTCGTCTGTGAGAACCCAAATCCATAGGCAGAATAAAATCATTTATATGCACACCAGTTTTTGAATAGAGTGAGGAAATTCATATAAAACTAAACAATTAGTGATTTGAAAAGACTCAAGTCTGAATTATTAGAATTAAAAAAGCAATATTAATAAGCCTTCCACTAAACCTTCCTAATAGGCCACCAACGGAAACTCCAGGTGGCAACAATGAAGCCAGCAGTGCAGCGTAGTTTGGGGAGAATGGATATTAGTGATAGGTTCTTTTAGAGCAGCATAGTGACCTGCACTAAGAACCATAAAGAGCTTCAATGTGCAACCTATTATCTTTACTTTTGGACTAAAAATTAGATTAAAAATATAATTTTTACATCCATGGAAAGTTTTTTAAAAAAAATAGTTTTTGCATAAAATGTCTGTTGCAGAATTAGTGTCAAAATAATCTTTTGAAGTTGGCATGACTATGATATGGTTCACAACTTATTAAGCAAGAAGAAATAATGTCTTCAGTAAAACTTGTACTTTGGAAATTCCAGCTCAGTAAGTAAAAACAAAGAAGTTATGCACTGGAGTGACTCAGTGAAACAAGATGTTCTTAGGAGCAGTAGAACCTCAAAGGCTGTAAATATGCACTTGTAGGTATTTACCTTAGTTCAGAGTCACAGAAAGATTTCCATTTAACCTAGCATTTCCCTACAAAGACAGAGAAACCACTTAAGTTGCAGTTCTAATAGAAGCAACTAAAAGATTGTATACATTTATGAGTTCTATTTTAATGTGTGATAACAGTATTGAAAGCAGAAGTAAAAAAATTTAACCATATTATAATTAAATGATATGGGCATTCGGCGGAGGCAGAGGCAGGTGTATCTCTGTGAGTTCGAGTTTAGCCTAGTCTACAAAGTGAGTTCCAGAACAGCCAGGGCTGTTGCATAGAGAAACCCTGTTTTGAAAAACAAACCAAAACAAAAGTCACATAATTTAAATAACTGATTTTATGAATGAAATATCTAAACTCTTAGTTACATTATTAGCTAGTGAGGTACTTTAAATGCTTCCACAAGGTTAGATTTTTATATTTACCTTGTACTATTTTTATTAGATAAATTTTAAAAAGTAAAATCACATAAACATTTGGTTTTAAGAAATAGGTATGATTTATTGTATAGTGGTGGGATCCTCAAACTAACTGCTAATACGAAATGAATGTGGCATTTTGTATTTTCTCTGTCTTCCTATTGTTCTATGGTCAAAGAAACTACCATAAAATTTCCTAAAATATAATAACCCAAAAAAGTAATCACCAGCTGAAATGGAGATGAAAATTTAGGCAATGTCATGTCGATCTCACAATTTTATGTTCACTAAATTATGGGCATGGGAGCCTGCTTCTACTTTCACATAGAAGTAGGCAAACACCCACCTTTCTGCTTTGTTTGGGAGTTCTACTAAAGCATGAGCAGGAAGTGTGGATGATCTCCCAACTCTGCAGTATACAATAGATGTTTCACAGGCCACTGCACTGCCCTAACTCAAAGTCTGACATTTGGTTTAATAGAGCTCAAAAGGTATTTTCAGATATAATATTGACAGCATTATGCTGGATACAGTAGGAATTCAAAAACACAAGAACATACAAACAAACCACCTCTGTAGAAAAAAATAGAATACAATTCCTTCTTGTGATGTATTATGGTTGCAATGACATAACTGTAGGAGAAATACAAAGGTTTGAAGAGAGATTGGAGAGGATCTGTCTGGTGAAGAACTGAAGATTTATTCTAGTGCAAGTTCGCCTGTAGATGCGGCCAGAAACAATGGGCAATAATATGATGAAAACAAAGATTACCAGTAAATAAATCATTAATATCATGGAATAGTGGATTATACTATTTGGGCAGATTGTGGGAGTAATGACAGAACTATTTGTTTAAATCAAATTATTAAAAACTCTAAAATCAGAAAAGAAAATGGGAAGTTAGGGAAATTCCTACAACAGCAAAATCACATAGTTTAAGGAACCCTTTAAGGAGATTATTTTCTGTTGGCTTTCTGAAAAGATTTATGGAAGGCCAAATCAATGGAGATCACAGAACAGAGGTCCAAAGTCATTTCCTCATTCCTACTTATATTGCTTCAAAACAGCTTTTTAAGAGTTAGAGGTGGTATAGTAGAGCCCAAGAACACACTGCATGCTTTGGAAAGAGGCTAGAAAATTCTGCATTCAGAGCCCAGCAAATTTTATAACTTGCCACGGAGCTTGGCATTAGTCTTCTTGTTGCTATTAGGCAGGAAGATATATACAGTGTGTGTATTGAACAAAAACAATGGAACCATTCTTCACTTGTGTGTCCATTGGCAATCTCCAGTCCTGCCTGCAAAGGCTGTGTTTCGGGTCTATTCCTCAAGTGCATTGAAGGAATTGTAATCAATATTTAGTGAACGATAATGTGGGATGATGCCTAGTGGATGCAGTAGCAGTACAGTAGCACCATCAATACTATGGTGGGAACTTTCCGTAACCAGGGCTTGCAGTAATATTCAGTAAAACTGAACTGAATGGGTAAGTAAAAAAATTAGAAATGAAAAATGACTGGTGCTTGATGACTTGTTAAATTCACAAAATAAAAAAAAAAGAGTTGAAGATGACATATCATAGTGATACAACAAAAGCATCATTACGTTCACAGCAGAAAGAGCAGACCAGGAAATGAGATTATGGGGAGATGACAACATTTGTATTTTATGAGTCATGTGATGGTGACAGTGAGGTATCCAAATACAAAGAGGTTCAGTGAGCAAGTGAAAAAATGGGCCTCCAGGATACAGCCAAACCTGCTATGAAATTCAAACGTAGAGTATGGCTATAAGAATTAACATGACCCCTGAAGAAAGATATGCAAGGCAAGAGAGGAGAAAATACCAAGAAGACCCCTATGTAAAGTCACAGACTGCTGCTCAGCTCCAAAGAGGCTCCATTCATAGCAGAGCAGGTACAAGCAGATGGCAGAAGCAGGACCATGGGTCTTTGTAACTTACATAGCAATAGCATACTGAGGATTTAGTAGGTCTCTCTGAATTCTAGACAGAAAACAGTAGCATAAAAATGGGAGAGAAAAATAAGAATTGAGAGTAATGCTCCCAAAGTGGTAAATTTCCCATGTCTGCCCTCTATTGTCTCTGAGCCCAAGCACCATGTATAGAAAGCCTAGTAGAGACCATCAAGGACAAGCAAACCCAGGAGAGGCTAGTAGTTCTGGCTCAATGATTCCTCATGTTCTGAGAGCTTTAAGTTTTGTCCTTTTCTCTCCCTTTGTGGCATCCCTCAAACAAACATGTCTAGCAGTGAAGAAAATCCATATAGGAGAGTAGCAAAATGTAGAAAGAAACCTTCTCTTGCTTGCAATTGCCTGAGCTGAGAGGAACTCATTTCTGTACTTTCAGATCAGCTAGGAAATCTGAAGCAAGCTCACGAACACTGAGAGCCTAAAAAGAATGTCCACATGGAAGCAAAGAGAAGGAGCATCTTGTGAGCTCCAGGGAATGAGAAGCCTTGAAACTGTAAAATACAAAGGAAAATCAGAGAAAATTCCAGGAAGAAAGCTTTGAAAACTACAACAGGCAGGAAAGAATTAAGTAGAGCATGTTTATTGAGATGTGCTATCCATAGAGCCAGAAATGAGTAGCTTACACTACAATCATACATGACTAAGTGGGCAAGACAAAGTATTTCAGAATTGCCCCTTTTCTCAGGAACCGGAACCTCATAGGCTACTAACTTAAACACATTTCCATCATATTATTCTTTAAAAGGTCTATTATTTACAGACAGATGATGTGGGAGTCCCCTCTGTGTGTTGCTTTTCTTGGTTAATGAATAAAGAAACTTTCTTGGGCTGTTAATAGGGCAGAACTTAGGTAGGCAGGGAAGACAGAACTGAATTCTGGGAGAAGGAAAGAGTCAGAGAGACCCCATAGATCCACTGGAAACAGACACTGGGAATTTACCTGGTAAGCCACTGCCACATGGCAATATACAGATTAATAGAAATGGGTTAAATTAATATAAGAGTTAGCCAATAAGAAGCTAGAGCTAATGGACCAATTAGTGTTTTAATTAATACAGTTTCTGTGTGGTTATTTTGGTGCTAAGATAGCCAGGTGGCCATGATGAACAAGCGGTGTAGCTCTCCTTGCAACAGACAGATAGTAGTGGTTTATCCAGTTGAGTCTAGTTCATCAAATTACATATGCAGAACATGTCCTTCATTCTGAAAATTACCTAGAAAATTCTTTACAGATTGTCAGAATCCACAACATATTACTTCAGCTTTCTACTTTTGGGAATATATGTATTTTTCTCTGTAGAGAGCATCAATTGGCTGCCATTGGGTTGATAGATACCCTATCGTCACAGGCCCACTCTATGCGTGTGAGACTTCTAGACAGTCAGAGCTACTGACCTCTGAGCTGTAGCTGCTCTGTGGTAAAGCACAGGAAAGAGAGCTGTGGTCTTTCTTTTAGTCTAAACTATAAAGCACAATTTCAAATATTGAAAAATGAGTGGTTAACCCATAGATACGTTTTTTTCTTACCTTGTGTGAAGTTATCACAAGAGAAACAGCATAGGGGGATAGAAAACGATATTTAAAGAATGATTCATGTGGTGAACACCCATCTTTAGCAAAAATTCATTTGGCAAGCCCAATGATAACAGAACTTCAATATTATAAAACCTGAAAATAT